CCAAAAATGTGCAGAGGACTTCCCAGGTCCCAGCCATCCCTGCTCAAGATAATCAATACTAACATGGCCACTGAAGGTGGGAAGGCCTCGTGTTTACAGCTGCTGACAGAGCACCACAGAAGGCATTACCCAAAATAAGAGGACTAACTGATTCAGCTAGGTTGGCTGACCAATTAGTCTCCTGTTTCCGTCTCACCCAGCACAGGCTTCAGCCACTATGCTCAGTCTTTACAGGGTTCTGGGGATCTGGTCCTCATGCTTACAATGGGAGGCACTTAACTGCCTGAGCCACCAGCCCCACGATTTCCTATTTTTAAAGGCCATCCAGCAAGTAGACCAGTGTTGTGCTGGATTCTGTACTCTCCCTAGTATGAGCATATCTTTATCTTTTTAGGGACTTCTGGTCACTTGTCCACTTTCTAATTGTCTCCTTTTGTTACTGAGTTGCAAGGTTCCTCTGCAGTCTTGGTCAAGTACACTAAGCCTAACTTTAAAATACAAGACTTTGGGCATGGTAGGGCACTCCTTTAACCCCAGCCTTTAAGAGGCAGAGACAGATGGAGTTCTATGAGTTCAAGGCCAGCCTTGTCTACATAGTGTGTTCCAGGACAAAATGTTAGTGTTATTTTCAGAAGAGAGCTTTGTTAGTAACATCCTTCAATTCTTTTCCTTTTAAATTATGGAAGCTGTCAGGCATAAGCGGATTTGATTGACAGCCATCAGACCCTTCTTCCCAGCAATCCACAGATGCAATTACCCAGAGTGGTGCTTGGACAAATGCCCTAGGCTGGGCAAGGACAGAGGAGGATGGGAACTGCTACTGTCAATCTTCCCTGGTTGCCAGGGTGAGGTGGGGGTTGTCAGGAAGGAACACCATGACTTCCTCCACTATTGCAGTTTAACCAGGGACAGCTGACGTAAGCAACACCCATTTTCAAGAAAATTATACAAGCTGCCAATCAAGAGGCTACTTCAATTCTGTAAACTGACAACCAAGCAGTTTAAAAACCCCTACGGCTGCCGACTCAAATCCAGCCTCTGGCTCCTGGAGGAGGCCCAAGCCAGACCCAGTCACTCCACGGGAACTTGGTTCTGGCCAGGGGGAACCATATAACTGTCAAAGCCACTACTCCAACAAAGGCTTTACTTTGGGAGGCTTGGTTTCTTGAGGCATCAGGGGACTGTCCCTCCAGATAACCAAGTCCATGGCTACTACCATCACAAGGGACCTCATAGCAGCAAATCTTCAACCCAGTCAGGGAGGAGCTCTGCCGACACCCAGGACAGCTACTAAACATGTAGGACTGACAGACCAGCTAAGAAAACCTGTCCTCTCCTCTCTAGAAGCAGTGTGGAAAATCTCACTCCCCCTTGCTGCCCCTGAATGCTGCAGCATAGACCCCAAGAATCTTCCTTGCAGGAGTCTTATTGCATGAGACTAGAGTGAGCTGAGCTGACTGCATAAAGAACAGGTAACTCCCGGGCTGCCGGCTCCCATACCCAGGAACAGCTAGTACGTGGCAGAAGAGTCTTACGGCCAGGAACAGAGACTGAGACAAAAATGAAGGACTGGGAAAGTGCTGGGAAGGTGACAGGAAGTGGAGAGCAGATGGCAGGTGAAGAGCGCTGACAGCAAGAACAGAAACCACAAAAGGCAGGAGACACTGAGCTAGGGCTGTGGAAGAGCCTCCAGCCTCCAGTGATGGAAGAGTTTAAGGAGGAGCCTCTACCTGGCTGCTGAGAAAAAGCTCGGAGTGGTAACACTGAGAGCTGAGGGTCACTGCACCCTGAGCTAAGAGCTGTAGCACTAGACACTTGGCGCTAACCACTTACCTAAAGCTGTAATACTCAGAATGAAAAGGTACAAGGCCGCCCAAGCTCAGAGCAGCTGACCAAAGGGAGCCAGCTCTGCTTGACCCACTCTCCATTCCCTCTGATCAAAGCAAAAGAACCCTCAGCCTCAACAGACTGGTGACAGACACCCTCTCTCAGTGACAAGAGAAAGTCACTGAGGCCCAGGAGAGAAGCAGCCTCCACTCCCAACAGGCTGGACTGAACCACTGAACACTCCACATGACAGCAGAACCAACTTTTTTCTCAAGTCCCCCTAGAACATTTACCAAGATACACCATATTCTGGGGCACAACAGGTCTGGCTCAGCTGGTAGAGAGCCTATTCAGCACACATGAAGCCCTGGGTGTGATTGCATGCGTCACCTAAATCCGGTGTGGTGGGACAGGCCTGTAATCTCAGCTGAGGAAGTCGAAGAAGGAAGGCTATATAGCAAGTCAAAACCAGTCTGGGCCACATGAGACGCGGTCTAAAAATAATAAAATGAAAAGTAATCATGATGGTTTGTCAACTAGACAGGTATTCTAGGAGATCACCTAGGAGACTTGCCTCTGAGCACGCCTGTGAGGGATTATCTAGATTCCCTTAACTGAGGTAGGTATTCCTACCTCACCTGTGGGCAGCTGATCCCGGACTGAATAACAAGGAGAAATGAGCAGAGCAGCAGAGGCTGTCACTCTCTGATTCCTGATAACAATGCGGCATGATGAGCCACCTCAAGCTCCTGCCATCCCTAACAACAATGGTATGTGCCTTAACTCCAAAATGAAATGAACCCCTTCTCTTTTCAATTGCTCGCGTCCAGGTATTTTATCACAGCAACAAGAAAAGCACCCAGCACAGGACGTCTCCATTCAGAGAGATGTTGAATGAGAAGTTGCTGTTTACAGGGCATAAAGCAGCAGCACAATCCTATCAGGGTCTTCTGCTGCTTGTGGAACCTGCTGAGACACCTCGCTGTGGGAGTTAAAGTATTCAAATGCACAAGCCTACCCTGCTGAAGTTACCAGTCTTGAAGTACTGTGGAGACTCTCCCTTCCCCAGCCCATCCTAAGCCCCAGGGCCTGACTTGTCAGCCCCAGCTCAATCAGGGCAAACCTGTTTGATATTCCCCATTTTCCAAACAGCAAGGGAAAGCAGATAAAGACTGTGACCATCGCTGAAATCTGTGTCGCCAGGCAAACTGGGCAGGGACAGGTTAGAGCCTTCTGGAAACTCCAGATCCCAAGAGGAAATTTCTAACACAATTCCCCCACAATAGTAATATAACTGCACTAATACAGGTCTTCAATGACCTCATTGGTTAGTCTGGGAAAACCCCACTACTTCTAGCCAACAGTGTCCAGGAATGATTCATGTGGCTATTTATCTCAAAGCTCTTTCAATGGCACATTAGCATATGTCAAAGAAATAAGCAAAAGGATACCAAGAATCTGGAGTAATCATCGCACTTCCAAGCTCCAATGGCCCGGCAAACCTACAAATTTGCATTAAGATCAGAATCCCCCAATGTGTATGGGCTAAAAGCAGACTCCTAGGGTCCCCTCCAAATAACATTATAAGACTCTCCAGAAATGGAGCTCTGTTGTTTTTTGTTTGTTTGTTTATTTGTTTTGTTTTTTCAAGACAGGGTTTCTCTGTGGCTTTGGAGGCTGTCCTGGAACTAGCTCTTGTAGACCAGAATGGTCTGGAACTCACAGAGATCCGCCTGCCTCTGCCTCGAAAGTGCTGGGATTAAAGGCGTGCGCCACCAACGCCCGGATCACAGATAATTCTTAAATTCCAATACATTAGGGAAACTGAGGCATCTGAAAGGCAGAATTAACGGTTGAAGGCACATCTGCTTTGAAAAGAGACAAGAGGGTTAAAATCCTAACTCAGCCAGACACTCACTGGTTGACACTAGCCAAGTGACCTAACATCTCAACAACTCCATAACCTGGGATTACCAGCCACTCAGAGGTGTTCTGTGTCCAATATGTTCAAAACATTCCCAAGGACAGTACCCAGCAAAGGACAGTCACACGAGCAGTCAGAACTTATTGGCAAAACATCAAGAGAAACCGCCCCACTGAAGCAGCCCATCGTGTTTTCTACTTAAAGGAAATTACAAAGGCACTAGGCTAGATTTCCAAGATAATCTTAGGAAAAAGGCTTTTCTGCGCACTATGACGGCTAAGAACAAAGACTCATTTCAGAGTCCAGTATTTCACCCAGCAGCCCAGATCAGGTCCCTCCCTGGGTCCCAATCAAATAAGAGTCTTTCCTTCCTAAGTCCCTCTGTCACCACCATCTCCAGCTGTAGGGCTGACAGTCACTGCATGTGGAGTGCCACGTTTTGAGTGGACTCCTGGATAAGAGGCAGGAGCAATGAAGGAGACCCGGGACTCTGAGGCTCTGTGGCTAAGGCGGGCAATCCCAGTATGAGTTACAGGGTATAGGCTAGACTCAAGAGCTGTGACCCTGATGTGTAGTAAACTCTACCAGTAACTCAAACACATCCTCAGGGAACACCTTCCCCCACCCAAAAAGTGGAAGAACACCCCTAACCAGCTGTCTGGGTGTTGGGAGGGACAACAAAGGAGAACCAGGCACATGCTCCCACCAGACATCGCTGTCCTTTGCACGGGAAAGGTCCAGGAATGAGGACAGCTCAGCCATGCTGGACAGTTCAGGTGGGGGTTCAGAAGAAATGGGAAGAGAACCCCAGCCTTTTGCTACTCTAGGGAAAAACAGAGGCCAGCAAGTCGAAGGCGAGAGTTCCTCCAACCTTACTACGCCGCTGGGGCAAGTCTGACCACACAGGCCTCAGTTTCCCGATCCGTACAAAGGGTAGAGGCCCTTAATGACACCTGACCACAAAGATGCTCCTACACAGTGTGAAGGGCTGCGTGGCATTAGCAGATAGGTGGGAAGGGGCGGAGCTCAGGCGACCAGCGAGGACAGCCTCCCACCCTCCATCCCTCCCACCGCGCTGCAGGGGCGCAGGCCCGCGGGGAGTCACGCGCCCATTGTGCCCAATCGCCGGCCTCGGCCAGGCAGGCGGCAGGCGGAGGGGCCTCTAAGCTCGCCGGCAACGCCTCCTCCACAGTCCGCCGGTGCCCGCCGCTGCCCGCCGCTGCCCGGGACCCTCCCCAGCGGCGCTCACCTGCCGCGGCCGCCGCCACCGCAGGCAATCAGCCGCCGCCCGCACTTCCGGGATCCGCGAGCCCCGCCTCCGCCGGATGTGACTCCCTCCAGAGTCCGCGCCGGGATCAGGCCGCGCTGCCCCTCCGCCGTTCCTCGGGCGTCCCGACTCGTGAGCCTCGAAGCAGCCACGATATCGGCACTCATACGCTGGCAGCAGCCGGGAACCACACCCGCGGAGGGCCACTTGGCCCCGCCCGCGCGGGAAAGCTCCGCCCCCGCGAGCAGATTCCGCCCATGGCGAGTGCGCCTGCGCACACTTGCAGGCGTGTCTTTCTTTGATACAGCCTTGAGGGGCCTGAGAGAGAAATCTTGGAATCTCCAAAAGGAGGCCCAGATGGGCTAGCAGAACTGCGGTGCCCCTGGCCTGCCCCACACACTCATTTTCATAGTTTGGCCGTAGGACTAGAATGACTGCGGCCCCGAATGTCCCCTTCAGACTCAGCAAACAGCTCTGAGTCGTTTTCCTAAAAGTCACCCTTTGACAGGATCCTAGATTGCACTTTAGTCCTCTGTAGATGATAGCTCTGTATAAGCATCGGATCTGATTTATCCGCACTCTCCCAGAGTGACAAGCCCCAGGAAGGCATAGGAACAAACCAGTCCTGAAAGCTGAACGCCATTCCCCATTGCCTTCTGCGCAGTCGTGCTTATGGGGACCCTGGGAGATAAGTTTCCAGCCAAAGAAAGTCATGCCACCTGGAATGCCACACTTTGTTATGCGTTAGACTTTTGTTGCTAGCGGCAGAGACCAGCACAAACCGGCGTCGCAAATGGGAGTTGTTGGGTCATACAAAGTGGAAAAGTCCAGAGGCACCGGTGACAACAGGCTCAGTGTCATCCAAAGCCTCCTACTCCTTCACTGGGATCTTAGTTCTGTCCACACAAAACAGTTCTGATCTCAAAGGGAATGAAAGACATTTTGATCTGAGCCAGTTGAAGAGTGACCACGGCCAGGGACACATTCAGGTTGCCTTAAATAACATGTTCCAAAGTGTTTGTAAGTAACAACAAAAGTAAGTCATACATCAAGGCATTTTCAGACTTATTTCTGGGAACATTACATCAGTGGGTTACAGCAAATTAGGGGAAATCTCTGCTCGGGTCTGACACACTCTCTGACCCATTTTTGCTTTCCAGTTGATGGAGCTAGGGTTAACAAATTGTAAAAGATTTTACCTGGTAATCACAAGGCTGTGAGGTCAGGCACAGAAGTGAGCAATGGCTGTTAAGGAGACTAAAGATAATTCTGAGACAATTTGACCCTGTACGTGCAACATTCCAGCTCTCCACAATCAAGAAGCTCTAATCACTTATCAGCCTTATAAACATAGTTGTGGCCTTTTTTTTTTTTCCGGGAGCTTCAGCTTTTGTGTCATCACATTTTCAACAGGAGCTCCCAAATTTGCCGTTTCAGATTCTACCTCTAAGATAATCATTGTTCCCACTGGGCAGAACATCCTCCCTTCACTGTTCCATGGGCTGCCTGGTCATGTAATCCACCTTCATCAATCAGATTTTTTTTTGAGACAGGGTTCCCCAAGGTCTCAAGTAGCCTATGCTGTCCCAGAACTCTCAAAGTAGACGAGAGTGACCTCCTGCCTCTCCCTGCCAAATGCTAAGATGACAGGTGCGCACTGCCATGCACGGTGCTATGCCATGCTGGAGACAGACACCAGGGCCTCATGCATGCTAGGCAAGCACTCTAGCAACTAACCCCAGCCTGGAGCACAGTTACTGCACAAAGAATCCGCACAGAAGACAGTCAGCTACCTAAGCCAGGTGCTACCCACTCATGGGCGCCAGCCAACTTGATAAGAACTCAATGCCATTTGTTTTGCAAATGTCTGATTTCGCAAAACATAAAGTCAAAGTGAGGACTGTTAACAGCAGCTTCCAGAAAGCCAGGCTGACACTGTTTCTCCAGGGTCAGGAGAGCCAGTCAGGGCAGGTGAATTTGTCTGTTTTTGTCATCCCTTATGCTGTGTGATTTTTTTATTTTTATTTTATTTTTAGCTGACAAGCAGAGACTCCATTTTGTGCATCATGGATGCAGATGCTGGAAACTGCTAAACCCCAAACCACCAGACCCTGAGGATTGGACAGAAGTATGTGGGGGAGGACGAACAGCTGCATCCTCTCTGCAAGTACTGCCCCCATGCCAAGCCATGGAGGGGTGGGGAGACCTTTTGAGTAACCAGACTTGGAGCATGGTGGGAAGGAGAAAAAACTGGTGGCTGAAAACAGTCTTCTATGAGAGGATCCATTAGAAAGATGCCTCAACTTGGCCTCATAGAATCCCCAAAGGGGCCCAGGACTGACTGGAGGTCAAGAGACCTCTGGGCTCACAGGCTAGGCCATCTTTTGCAGCTGGCCAGTCCCAGCTACTACTAGCCTAGACCTCACAGCTCATGCTGTCCCACTAAACCACCCTAACCTTGGCCGAGTCCCTTCGGCTTTCTGGTGCTATGTTCCCCATGTGTGATGCCAAAGACAGACCCAGACTCATCCTCCTTCAAGATACTCCATGATGGGGCTGGAGAGCTGGCTCAGCACTTAAGAGTGCATTTCTCTCGTAGGGAACCCAAGCTTGGTCCCCAGTATCCAGGTCAGGTAGCTTACAATCTCCAGCTCCAGGGGATCTGATGCCATCTTCTGGCCCCTGCAGGCACCTGCACTCACATGCATGCACACAATTAAAAAGAGTAAAAATAAAAAATTTCAAAGAAACCACAATTAGGGGAGGGGGGTCTGGGTGGAATTTCCACCACAACAAGGGAGATTTGTAATGGCAAGGATCTGAGATACTGGAGCTCAGTAAATGGCTGCTTGCCCATCTGTAATCTTCCCTCTGTAGGTGAACGCAACACTATCACCCAGGGGACCTCTACACCTCATTACCCATCATGACCTAAAGCCTCATTCGTGCTTGATTTCTTGGCTCAGAGTGAATGGCTGTGTGATCAAGAGTAGCCATGGCTGTCAACAAAACCAAGTTTACTCTGGGCACAGGCCACATGGCTAGGCTAGCTATCTTCAGTAGCACAGAGGACGTCACGTCTAACTGTAACAACGGCTCTGCCCTCTTGGTTTGCTTTTGTCTGCCCTCTCCAGTTTTCCTGGAAGGCTCACCCAGCCCCTGATAGGACCAGAGAGAGAGTAAATACTCTTGTCTAATCTTCCCCAGTATGACCGTGTGGCACCAAGGGATGGCCCCACCCTTGGCAGGCCCTGCTTCCTGTATTCCCTCTCAGCATTAGCACCTGTCCCAGAGCCTATGTCTGGCAGTCACTGGGATGGAGAAGTGCCTGGCCATTTCCAGTGGTCTGTCCTGTTTCCCAGCCAGATCCCTGTAACAAGGTCCTTGGGAAGCATGTGTGGTCTTCTTCCCTCTGTAAAACCCCACGGATGTTCTTGAGCTGCAGAAGCAAGAAGTCCTGGACTTCAGCCTCATCTGAGCTGCTCAACTCAACCATGGGTTCCCAACCCTGTGACATGATGTCATTTCAAAGTTCACACCTAAGAACTGTGTAGTTGAGTAACAACAACAAATCACACACAAACCAAGTCTCATGATATTTTGAGTAAGTTCAGTTTTGTGTTGTGCTGCATGCATTCTTAGCTACCCTAGAGCATGTGCAGACCACAGGGTAGACATAGCCAGTAAGATATCTTGTTCCAGCCGGCAAAGTCCAAGTAGAAGGTGCTTGTGACTTTATGAGCCAATGCCATGCTAATATAGGAGAGGAGGAAATGCTGTAGGCTGCCCCACTGGGAATGATCCAGCACCAACCTGTACCACCACCTGTGGCTTCCTGCCTCAAGCCAGCTGCAGCTGCCCTGTGCTCCCTTCACTCTCTCTCTTTGGGTCTGGTGACATAGATGTGAGGTTGGAATTGAGGAGACAAAGAACCTCAGTGTGGGGTAGCTGCAAACCATTGGGCATCTCTGCCTCCCCTCCTCAAGGCTCTCAGCATGTATCCCCCCACCCCACCCCAGGAAGACATTGATCAAGCCCAGGAGCCCTGGATTCCACTACCCTCTGCCTTATCTTATAGATCCTGGTAAGTCACATGTTGCAGGTCTCAGTGTTCCGTCTTCCAAAAAAAGGAGATGGGCTTGGGAAATACTGGTCATTCCATCCAAATGCTAATGCTGACTAGTAGAACATTCGGCTGAAGGGGAACTATGTTGCTCAGGGTTCAATGGCTCTATCCAGAAGTCAGAAGTGCTGGGATCAACTGATGATGTCTGCTGCTTGGCACTCAGGATGGAGAAAGCCAGCCAGGTGCCACCTACCCAAGTCACAACCTACCTTCCACCAGGAACCAAAGAATTTGTGTGCCCCTCCATGCCCATGGGACTCTCTGACACTTGGATTCTATGAGATGTCATGAAACAGAAGTTACCAATGGGAAGTCTGAGGACTCTTCAATAGAAACTTGATCTGGGGGACAAGTCACTTCCCATAAAGGATGGAAAACAGGAAGAGGACTTTGGGCCCCAGGCATGTCAGTGAGAGGCAGGTGAATTTTAAGATGAGAGATGTTCTAGGTGTCCAGAAATTTTGAAGTGACCTCAATACCTGGAGTCATCAAAGAGCCACCGGATGCAGCTGTCCCCTTTCCTGTGGCACAGCAGTAGCCATTGTCTAAGACTGCCTCATCTGAAGCAGGGATTGGAGCAGAAAGGACCAGATCTAGTCTCCAGCATTCATGCCCCAGAAGACACATGTGGGGAGGACCTGGGTAGGTGCTGCTGCAGTCTGAGGTCCGCTTTTGACTGCAGTTGATCTGTTTAAGCCCTTGGCTCACCCTACATATCCCACTGCCCTACGTGACCCTTTCACCCCCTCCCACCCTGCAAACGCCTGGTCCCCTCACAAGGTCCCTTTCGGTCTGATCCCTCTTGTATCCCACACTGACTTGTATCCCACTCCTCTATGATATTCACTCATGGGTCCACCACCATTGGCCCTGCACAAACCCACTGGCCCAGCCTGGGCCCTCTCCCCCCTTATGCTGGTTGGGTTCCCTTACCCTACAGATGGTCTCAATGACAAGAAAGCCAGCAGGAGAAAGCCTCAATTTGTTTCTTCTCAAAATTGCCCCATCCCTCCTACTTCTAAGCCCTGCTGCAGGCTGCATCAAAGTTGCAGGCTGGGTTAAGAAGCCCTGGGGTTGTGGAGCAGGGAGCAGGGAGGCTCCAGAGTCAGTGCCAGGCTGCCCAAGTTTGCCCTCTGCGTATATCACTGACTTCAAGATGGAAATGTCACCAGGTATATAGTGTAATCCCAGCACTTAGGAGACTGAGGCAGGAGAACCATTGAAAGTTTGAAGCCAGCCTGGTCTATATGGCATGTTCCAGGCCAGCTAACAGCACCTAACCTCAAACAAAATTAAAATATAAACCAAAAACAGGAAACATTTCAACTTATTACAAAAGAATTCCAAACCTAAAAGGCGATCTTACTGGTATCCCATGACAACAGGAATGCGGACACTGTCCAGAGTCTCTGCAGTACCCTCTTCATTTTTCAGACAGAATCTCATGGAGCTCAGGTTGGCCTCCAACTCCCTGTGCAGCCAAGGGTGACCTTGAAATTGTGACCCTCTGTCTCTGCCTCTGCCTCCCAAATGCTAGGATTTCAGGTGTATACCACCACACCTGATTCTTATTTGTTTGTTTTTTTTATTTTGGGGGGCTTTGGGTTTTGGGGTTTTTGTTTGTTTGTTTTTTTGAGACAGGGTTTCTCTGTGTAGCTTTGTAGAGCAGGTTGGCCTCGAACTCACAGAGATCCACCTGCCTCTGCCTCCCCAAATGCTGGGACTAACAGCGTGCACCACCACTGCCTGGCTGTGTTTTTGGTTTTCAGTTGAGTGCCAGAGCTCCAACCCAGGGCCTCGTGTGTGCTAGGCAATCACTCCACCAACTGAGCTACACCCCAGCCCCGTATCTCCCTTTTAAAATGTTTATCATTCAGTTTTTGTTGAACTTTTTTTTTGCAGGAGTGTTTTTTTTACTGTAAATGCTTTTGGATATCTTCAGGACCTGGGAGCTCTTAAAATATGTATATATAAACCCCAATGTTCTCTTATTCTAAACAAAATTACTCTTTGTTTGGGAGGGATTATTGGAGTTTTTTATTCTAAACAAAATTACTCTTTGTTTGGGAGGGATTATTGGAGTTGTGTGTGTGTGTGTGTGTGTGTGTGTGTGTGTGTGTGTGTGTGTGGCTTATTTTGCCTTTTTACTGGGGGAAGGGAAGGCACGGAACTCACAATGTAGTTCAGGCTGACCCAAAACTTACTATGGAGTCCAGGCTGGTTACAAAGTCCTGCCTCAGCCTCCCTAGTGCTAGGATTACAGTGTATACCACCAAATTTACTTTGTTTGAAAGGGGTAAACTAAACTCAAAGGCTTCACTTCTAATAACTTAGAAATAAAGGGACTGGACCCTCACTCAGCACCCTGCTTTAGCAGCCATTACAGGCTACAGAAAAGGAAACTCCAGATCCTCCCCCCCCCAGCCTCCTAGATACTTGGTTCCTGGGAACTGTTTGGTCACAAAAGAAACTCCAGGGGGAACCAAAACCTCCCCTGTAGTCTCCAAGACATAGTTCTGAAAACTATTGGTATCTATGTACAACAGACCACCTGCAGGTAACAAGACAATGCCATAGAAACCACACAATGTTCCCTCTCAGCACTGACCAATGAAAACAATTGGTACACAGGTATTTCATGCCAAAATATGACTTTGAGAAGTTCTCCTAATTGTTCCCAAGTGTCAACCAATCAGACACCAACCTGTGTAATCCTGTAACTTTTGTCTTTAAAACCTAACAGTAGACAGAGAACTTCACCCCCTCTGGCGGCTGCTGCGGCAGCTAGCCAGACGGGGTCCCTGTTATGATTGGATGAACAATTAAAACCTTGCTTTTACAGTTGGTGGGTCTGTCTTCCTGGTGGTCTCTGGGGATCTTTGCAACTTGGGTACAACATGTTTAGTTATGCATTTGTTTCTTTTAAGATTTATTTATTTATTATGATTACAACATCCTGCTGCCGTGTATGTGTGCAGGCCAGAAGGGGGCACCAGATCTCATTATGGGTGGTTGTGAGCCACCATGTGGTTGCTAGGAATTGAACTCAGGTCCTCTGGAAGAGCAGTCGGTGCTCTTAACCTCTGAGCCATCTCTCCAGCCCTATTCATTTGTTTTGAGACAGGATCTTGTACAATCAGAGCTGACCTCAGACTTGCTTTATAATCAAAGCTGGCCTTGAACTCCTGATCCGCCATTCTCCCTTTCCTAGCTGCTGATCTCCAATACCACACCTGGTTTATGCGGTGCCAGAGATGGATTGCAATGAGTTCCAGGCAAGCAGGCAAGCACTCTACTTACTGAGCTACAGCCCCAGTCCCAAATGACTACCTTTAACATCACTCAGTATCCACTCTCTGTTTGAGTTTCCTGCCCAGTGCCGTCCCCAGGATCAGCAAAGGGCCCTGGACTCCTGGGGGCAGAGCAATACTATTCTATGTTCTATACCATAGTACCTGTTTAAGGAGGTGAACATGAGTATCCCAGGCCAGGCCAAAGGCTCCCAGGGGTGTTTTTCCGACAAGATGCTTAAAAAGATAATAGCTGTCTATTTGTTGTGTATGGATGTGCAAACAAACCTGGGTCCTATCAGGGTATTTATCAAGTAGGAATTATTTATTTTTTTGTTTGTTTATCTTTGGTTTTTACAAGACAGGGTTTCTCTGTAGCTTTGGAGGCTATCCTAGAACTTGCTCTGGAGACCAGGCTGGCCTAGAACTGGAGATCAGCCTGCCTCTCCCTCCTGAGCTCGGGAATTAAAGGCATGCACCACCACTGCCCAGCAGGAATTTTTTTTAAGTTATTGGTTTGTCTAACTTGGAGATTACCACAGATTCCACATCGAGGCTCAGTGCCTAGACTGTAGATGCCAACCCACAGCTACATGTTGCATTCTCTGTGCTTCTCCCCAACTGAATATAAGTCAGTGTTCCTGCGAGCCCTCCTTGAGTTTGAATCACTTGTTTGAGTGGCTCAGGGCTTGGGGAAACACTTCCACTACCTGTGGTTGGTTGTGTGTGTGTGTGTGTGTGTGTGTGTGTGTGTGTGTCAGAAGAGGTATTGGATCCCCTGGAAATGGCAGGTTTCTGAGTCTACAGTACACAGTACACTACAGGAGCCTCAACAAGAATGTTAAAATGTCATCAGGTGATGGTGGTGCACACCTTTGATCCCAGCACTCAGGAGGCAGAGACAGGTGGATCTCTGAATTTGAGGTCAGTTTGGTCTTCAGAATGAGTTTCAGGATAGCCAGGAACTCACACAGGGAAAGCCTGTCTTGAGAAAAAAAAAGTGACAGAACAGAAAGAGTAAGACAGATTCGTCGTGGTGTCCCTGTCAAAATCTTTCCTGCTGTGCATGGAGCCTGCACCCTCTGGGATTCAGGGAGGGAGTTAGAAGCCAGGAGCAGTGTCTGAAAACCAGAGTATATCCATGATAATATCCCAGGCACTAACATTCAAAGAGCAGGAATTTCACATAAATATTCAGACTCTGACTTTTCTTGGAAATGTGGCCAACCTGGCACCATGGCTTCCTTCCAGCCTGACAGTGGCAGGTCAGAGCTGACCCAAGGCTGCCCCCTTGAGGTGAGACAATGCAGCACCATACCCAGCATGGCCATCCAGCCTAGTGCCCACTTTGCCTCCTAGGTCCTGAGAGCATGCCCACCTTGCTCCAGACTGCAGACTCCATGAAGGCAAGGACTGACTGCCTGTCCTTTTATGGTTTGGGGGAAAGTTAAACTTTGTAAAAGTCTTTCATTTACCATTGACACATTTTTCATTTCTTAATGTTACATTACATATTTTATGTGAGCGAGTGGGTACCCGTGGTGCTACCACAGTGGTGTACGGAGGTCAAGGAGGAGCTTGTGGGATGCAGATCTATCCTCCCACCATGTGGGTCCTGGATATCCAATTTGGCTTGTCAGACTCGGCCTCCATTCCTCCTGGCAGCCTGCTCTCTAATGGGGACAGTGGGACACACCTCGTGGCCAGTTGGGAACTGGGTCAGATCGGAAGGGCAGACACAGCGCCTGGCACTTAGGTTTTCAGCTTTCTCCACGGTGTCTTTATCACCAAGATAGCAAGAGTCTCCCCACTCTGTGAAGTCAGGTGGCTTGGTGTTACATTCTCAGCCATTAAAACTCCCTGGATTCTGAGAATTTTCAGCCCCTATTAGGGTAAAGATATTATCGGGAAGTTTGCATTTCTTATCAAGCCCCATTAGTGGCCCTCCAGGCCTGATTAGCGCTTAGAGCAGGTCAGAGCTATTTAACAAGCAGTTCTCCGCACAGCTTCAGGCCCAGAACTGCTTCTCCCAAGCCTCTTAAGACGGGGAGGGACCATGAAGTGGCTCGGGGTCCTCTGGCTCGCTGCCCTCTCAGAGTGCTTGGTCAAGTAAGTATGGGGGGGGCGCTATCAGCTGTGTCCCTGCGTTCTTTCTCACCCTTATAAAACTGTCTGACCCTCCTATTCCCCGGCCCATCCCGGGTTGAAGAAGGAAATGAAACCCCCCTGACTTTCATAAAGTTTAGGTGTCCATTCGTCAGTGATAATTTGCCAAGAGGACCAGAGGGTCCCAGAAGTCTTGGGGCAAGTCTTCAGAACCACCCAATTCCAAGGGCACAGGTCACATCATGGGCTGTATGGATGTCACTCCCCGGAATCGTTCAGTGTACAACTTGTGCGGCTGCAGGGGTGTTTCCTCTACAATGTCTTCCAGATCTCTCTCAACGTGTCTGTCTCTACAGATCTTCCCTGTGTTTTCCCAACTTTTTGAGCGTCTCTGTCCACAGACCTCTACTTCCCTGCCATTGGACTCTCATTCTCAGGCCTCATCATTTTCCCTCACCAATTCCCTGCTTTAGCTCCCTGGAATTTTCCATTTTTCTCTCATCCCTCACTTCTGATTGAACCGACATGGGTGTGGGGCTACTGCCACCTGTGTACGGTGGTGCATGCCTGTAATCTCAGCTTTTGAAAAGGAGGTGAAGCCAGGATGATCAGAATTTTAAAGTCATCCTCAGTTATGTATCAAGTTTGATGTCAGCCTAGGATACGTAAGAGCCGGACTCAGAAAGAAAAAAAATAAATAAAACAAAAGGGGCGACTTCCTAGGCCTACCTTTTATGGTAACCAGCATGGTGACCAAGGCCGAGTCGCAAGGAAAGGGATCCGGGCGTCGATTACCCCGATCTCCCATCCTTCCTCTCGGACTGCTTTGGGAAAGACAGTAAGGACACTTGAAAGTGACAGCAACAGCTGTCACGGTTAGGATTTACCGGATGGCAGGTGCTCCCTATCCATCACCCCGCCCCCAGCGCTCCGCGTGAGAGGGTTATCATCCCATCTCCTCTACAGAAAGGGAAGCTAAGGTTTCAGAATGGCCCATGGCTTGCTCGAGAGTGAGCACCAGACCTGGATTGGAAACCAGGCATTCTGCCATGGTCTCCCCATTGTGTTAGGTGGCCTGTCCCAAGAATGGGCTTCTTGGGAAAGTCCACCGTGCAGCTGCCTCGTTGCCTCTCGGCGCCCCATGGTGCCTCTCTCTGGCTCAATTTCCTTCCCAATGCTCCCTTAAAGAATCCCTCTGATGAAGATTAAGTCCATGCGAGAAAATCTGCGGGAAAACAACATGCTGAAGGATTACCTGGAGAAGTTCCCTCGAAGGCGTGCCCACGTGCGTCTTGAGCAGCGCAGGAACCCAGCAGTAGCTTACGAGCCCATGAGGAACTACCTAGACGTAAGCGTGGTGGGAGCCGGGAGCTCCAGAGCGCCCCTAGGGCTTCTGTGCAGCACTGCGGCCCCTCTGGGGCATATTGCATTAGGGCTGGGGTTCCTAAAGCCAGAAAGGGCGGGGAGTAAGGACTGGAATAGTCAGCAGTTAAGAGCACCTGCTGCTCAAGTGTAAGGACTTCAGTTCAAATACTTAACACGCACGCAAAAATACAAGCTAGATGTAGCCACACACACTTTTGACCCCAGCATTGTGGGAGCAGAAATAGGAGTAACTGGGGTTTGTAGCCTGCCAGTCCAGCTCTATGTTCAGTGAGAGATCCTGTCCCAAAAGAATAATCTGGAGAGTGGCAGAGCTGGACACCTAGCATCCTCCGCTGGCCTCTGTTTACACCCGCACCCAGACACTCATACATGAAAGAAAAAATTAACAGGTGATGAACGGGGACCTGTTCCCCACCCCCTACGCCAAGGAGCACACATTCCTACCCTGTGCTGGTGGTTGGACCTAGCAATGACCAGTTATTACCATGCACACATCCTGTTCTATGCTGATGACAAGTCATTGGGTCCCTGGACTTTTGTTCTTTTTCATCGAGGTGAATCCCTGGGTCCCAAGCAAGGGTGAGCCACATCTAACCCAGTGCCAGCAAATCCAATCGCAAATCAAGCTCGGTATCTCAGAGAGAGGAATTCCCGCACCTTCAGACTCAGATTTCAACCAGTGACCAGTTAGTGTGTACTGAGATGGGCTAGACACTGGTCAGCTAGCAAGATGCCGTCATTTCTGATGGGCAGAGTCTAATCTCTTTATTTCTCAAGACAGGTTTCACTGTGTAACTCCAGCTGGCCTGGAACTTGCTATGCAGACCAGGCTGGCCTTGAACTCACAGAGGTTCACCTGCTTCTGCCTCCCGAGAGCTGGGACTAAAGGTGTGCGCCACCACACCTGACTGAACTTAGTTTCCTTTCCTAATACTTCACAGCCTAGCCGGAGAAATGGGCAAAAACAAATCCCAGCTGGGCATGGTGGTGCTTGCCTAGAATCCCCGCAATCACAAAGCTGTCGCGGGAGAATCAAAAGTGTGAGGCCAGCCTGAGCTACGTAGGAAGAGCTATCATAAAGAATGGAGAAGGAGGGGGAGGAAGAGAGGGAAAGGCAGGGGAGTGTAAGCCAATGCCCAAGGAAAGGACTGGCCGAGTGGTCTTTGGAGAAAGCAAAGAGCACAGAGACCTGGAGTGACCCGGGAGGGCAGCCTGGAGGAGGCATCTAGGCTGGATCCTGGCAGGTGGAAAGAATTTGAGACCTTTGAGAGAGGATGGAATGTTCCTAAAAGGAGGCCCTGGTTTGAGCAGAGGCAGGCACCCCAGAAACCAGGAGACAGACAAGGCAGCCAGGCTGGCCCTAGCATGGCCCTCCTCTCCTGCAGCTGGTCTACATCGGTATTATCAGCATCGGCACGCCCCCTCAGGAGTTCAAGGTCGTCTTGGATACCGGTTCTGCCTACCTGTGGGTTCCATCCATCTATTGCTCCAGCCCAGCCTG